GGAGGCAGTGGTGTCTTGCTTCCCTCTGCTTGGTCTCAGGCTGGGATACCTTTTGTGGGGGAGGCAGGATCGCTGGATGATGGGACCCACTGAGCCCATCTACCTGGGTAGTTTCTCAGGTCCAGGTTGTACTGTTTCTGCTCTCTGCCCCACTTGCCCCTCGTCCCCACCTTCAGCTTCCAGAGTCACGTGGGCAGGGGTGGGGAGTCTGAAGAGGGCACTGGCTCCAGACAGATCCCAGCTGAGCTGGTGGGGAATGTTCAGCGTTTTCCTCCATGACTTCTCACTACCCTTTTTCCCTCCAGGGACCCTCCCACTTCTGCCTGTCGCTGGAGACAGCGGGACTCTGGGGGTTGGATGGAGGACATGCGTGTGGTCCCATGTGCCTGTGTGTGTTAGAGGGGGATGCAGGGGGCACATGTGTGCACCATCAGATGGGCTGGTGCAGAGCTATCTGTGGTGGTACTGATGCTGGTGCGAGTCTGGGGAAGGGGCAAGAGTGTCCGCAGGGCCCAGGTAGCCATGGCATCCGCACACCGTGCAGAGGGCCAGGCCATCCCAGCCCCGCTTCAGCATTCCTCTCGTGGTGAGGGGTCCTGCCTTCTTTCCGGACCTCAGTTTTCCATTCTGTGAAAGACAGGGCTTCATACCTCAGCGGCTTTCCCAATGCTGAGGAAGATTCCCACCTCAGGGTCAAGGGCACATGTAAGCCTGCCAGGGCAAAAGCTTCGTTAGGCTTCTTGGTGCCCTCCTGGGCGAGCCCCGGGCCCTGTCTGTTGTCTGCGTCTGTTCTCCCAACGAGTCACCCTGTGGAGCCCAGCCAGCCATGCAGATGCTCCGTGTTCCTCACACAGAGGCCAGGTGGGGGCCATCTGACAACAGCAGGAGGGAGGGGTCAGAGGGCAGGCCTGGTGGGGGGGAACACCAGGGGAGCCAGAGGTGGCTGGGGAGGGTGTCTCTCATTCCAGCTGAGCAGCCCCCTCGCAGCTGGCTGCTGAGGACAGAATGTCCTTGGCTGGTCCAGAGAGGTGGGGGATCAGGGTTTAGGGCCTGCCAGACGGAGGCTCTTGAGCTTTGCTTACATGAGGAGGGGTCAGGGGGTGGGACAAGAGGGAACCAGTTGGCATTCCCCAGGAGGGTGCTGACAAGACTCCTGTCTGAGCACGGCTGTGGAATCCTTGCAGCTCTGTGGCGCTTGCTCACTGGCACAGGGCAGCTCTGCCCCTGGCTGAGGTTGGATGGCAACTGCTTTCGGCGGTCTTGTCCTTCCCACCTCAGGGGCCCAGCGCGAGGACCCCTCTGCGTCCCCATCCCCCCCGTCACTCTGTGGGGGCCTTGGATGCATTGCTTAATGCTCTGGCCTCAGTTTCCTCCTTTTGGAATGGGATTTCATACTAACGCCTACTCCATAGGCCTGGGAGCCCGGTGGTGTCGTGGTTACACGCTGGGCTCCGACCTCAGGAGCAGCCCTTTGAAACCACCAGCTACTCCAAGGGGAAGACTGAGGCTGTCTGTGCTCCTCAAGTCTCAGGACCCCTCCCCCGCCACCCGGGAAGTTCTACCCTGACCTAGAGGATCACCACGTGTTGGATTTTGCTTTATTGGGAGTGAGGCTTTGGTTTCCATTGTAGGTGGTTAAAACAATGAAATGAGAATCCACTGAATTAACTTGTTCTCAGGACCCTCCAGGGCTGCCCACTGCGCATCCAGTCTTCAGCCTTCCCCTCCCCAGCACACCTCCCTCACTGCCTTCTTTGCCCCTGGCGTTCATCACCCCTGATGCATTGAATTATTTACTTCCATATTTCGCGGTGGGACTGCACCCTCCTTATACCTGTATGTAAATACTCTCAGACAAGAAGTTACCTGGTCTATATCTGTTGCTCTCTCCCCATCACTTGGCACACAGTAGGAGCTCCCTGTGTCTATTAAATGACCCCAAGTGTTCACTCCGGGGCTTGGCACGTAGTAGGTGCTGCAACAGAGGGGCTGCACTAACCTTCTTCCTTGGAGAACAGCGGATAGGGCCTTGGGTTCAGAGTGGGCATCTGCCAGGGGTGCCTGCTGTGGCTCCGTGACTTTCCTAATTGAGTAGGAAAGTGACTTTCCTAATTGAGTAGGAAAGTGGTCCTGGAGAGCCAGCCATGGGGGCGTGGGGGGAAGGGAAGCAGATGCAGGAGGGGAGTTTGGCTTCCCCCAGCTTGTGCTCAGGCCAGGTGCTCTGAGCAGGTTCACAAGAGGGAGGAAAGGGCGGGTTTGCATTTTTCCTTCCTTTTCTGTTTGCTGCCTGCTCTTCAGCTCCCTTCATGCTCAGTAGCCCCAGAGGGGGGTGGGGTGGGCGTGTGGGGTGGGGAGGTGGGGGTGAGGCTGGTGTTGTGGACCCAAACCTGGCAATACTGTTAGACACCTACAGGCCCAGACACCTACAGGCTGGTCCATAGAATTTCCATACTGTGTTTCGGCAGACTTACTCTTTTTCATAAAGCCTTCCCTGTAGTGAGTTAGGCCTGCGCTCACAGTTTTTGAAAGCACAGCTGACATGGCTCTGTGCACCTGCAGGGCAAGGAGGTCGTGCTGATGGACTCCTTGAACCTTCTCGTGCATGCTGTGGGGGGCGGGGCATCATGATCACCCAATTACCATACTGATGCCTGGGCTCCCTCCCTCTGTGGGCCCAGTCAGATGCACAGGGAGCAAACGGGAGGTATTTGAGCTTCTTTGCCACCTATGCGCCAACTCCTTTGAGAACAAAGGAGTCACGGGAGGAAAAGGAAGAGCTTCTTGAGGGGCCTCTGCTCAGTCCACCCTGGTGCCCGGTTAGTGTCGTCCCTCAGCGCAGAGCGACTTGACAACTCGGGTTTGTTAGTGTTCGCAGAATTGAAGAATTGAGTCATTTTAGCAATTGACAGCTCTATTGATGGTCTGAGCCCTGATAGCAGCATGGTTACACTTTGGGCCACTAACCGGGAGGTCGGCAGTTTGAAACCACCAGCTGCTCCCTGGGAGAAAGACCAGGCTTTCTACTCCCATAAAAGAGTCAGTCTTGGAAACCCACAGGACCAGTTCTGCCCTGTCTGATAGGGTCGCTAGGAGTCGACCTCATCTCATTAACAGTGAGTTTAGAGTAGTCTGTGATTAACGTTGATAATGAGCATGACTAAGCATGCTGTGTGATCTGGTCTGGGAGGAGGCCCGTGTGTGTGTGTGTGTGTGTGTGTGTGTGTGTGTGTGTGTGTGTGTCCATGAGCTACTGCATTGATTGGCACCAGCCCCAGTGACACCACTGTTGGCGCTGGTCTTCAGCTACCCTCTTCCCTCCTGCTGTGCCTGCTGTCTGTGTGTCTGTCTTCTGTCTGCCATGCTTTCTCCTTGTCTCAGGCTGGCCCTCACTCTCCCTCTGGCCTTCATACCCACCTCTTTCAGTCTGACTCTCCGGGGACTGCCCCACCCCCACCCCACCCCCGCCCAGTCCTGGGCACGGAATTTTTCTAGGTCCTTCAGGCCAAACACATTCTTCAGCCTGTGCCCGGGCCAGCCAGGGCAAAGTGGCTTAATCTTCAACCCATGTTTTCATCTTACCCAACAGCCGTCACCGGGGTCTTGAGTAAAAGGGTTCTAGGGTCACCTCCCTCCTGGGGGGTGCAGTGGCGGGGCCGGGTGGAGAGGGCAAGGGCGTGTTTGCTGTGGGCACCTCTGCTTCTTGGAAAGAGCTGAAGTGGTTTTCTCCTTTCCTGAGAAATAAGAGTCAAAGGCATCTTCTGAGGGTGAAAGCCAAACAGAGTGGCCCCCGAGGTCGAGGCTGCCAGCCCTTCCCCTCCCCTCAGGGCCAGCCCCACGGCAGGCACCGGAGTTGCCCTTACAGAGTGAAGTAGGGGTCTGGGTGGGGAGTCTGAGCAGGTGGAGGGTCTGGGGCTGATGGGACTATCAGGTTGGTTTCAGCCATAATTGTATTAATGACGAAAACCTCAAACCAGTTGCCGGTGAGTCAATCCAGACACACAGCAATGGCACGGCTGGGCGTCAGAGTAGAACTGTTGTGTAGGGTTTTCAATGGCTGAGACCGTCTGGGACTGGCTGATCTAAATTAAACTCACAGCCACTGAGTACATTCTGACTCACAGTGACCCTTCCGGACAGAGTGGAGCTGCCTCAGAGGGTTTCTGAGACGAAATCTTTATAGGCACAGACAGCCTCTTATTTCTCCCTGGGAGTGACTGTGGGTTTGAAGCGTTGGCCTTGCTAAGGTGGGCAGCTCAGTGTGTATAGCCCACTATGCCAGTAGGGCTCCTTAGTTTTGAAAGTAGATGTTAGGTGCTGTCGAATCCGTTCTGCTTCAGAGTGAGCCCATGTCTAGCAGAGCCAAACACCGCCCGGCCCTGTGAGGGAGGAAGGAAGGAAGGAAGGAAGGAAGGAAGGAAGGAAGGAAGGAAGGAAGGAAGGAAGGAAGGAAGGAAGGAGAGAGAGAGATAGCCGGCCTTTTGGCGAGGCGTCTCTGGGTGGATTTGAACTACCAGCCTTTCAGTAAGTAGTCCAGTGCCTAACCCTGTATACCACCAAGAGACTCCATGATAGTAATCATAGCTATAGTCAAAGGCTAGTGTCTCATTGGCTGAGCTATCTTCAGGACATTTTATAAATACAAACTCATCTGATTCGAAATCACTGGCATTATTGAGATCCCAGTTTGCAGATGAGCAACTAAGGTGCCCGAGGCTCCGAGGAGGAGCTGGGAGTCTGAGTCCGTGGTCTGGCACCAGAGCCCGCCCTGGTGGCCACACGTGTCACTCTCACTTGTTCAGCACCTGCTCTTTTCAAAGTCTCTTCCCTGATCCGGGGCCACCGGAAGCCACCGTGATTGTGAGGAAGCAGGTGCGACCCCACCTGGGCAGGTGTGTGATCCCATCGGGAGTTGGTGGGAGGAGCTGATTGTGCAGAGCAGCGAAGTGCAGTGCAGAAAGGCAAGGTCACAAGGAAGGGAAGAGCCAGCCAGGGTGCAGCACAGCACCGAGGGGACAAACAACATTCCTCCAGTTCTTGAATGCTTCCCCCCACCCCACTATCATAACCCCAGTTCTACCTTGCAAATCTGGCTAGACCAGAGCATGTACACTGGTACAGATAAGAGCTCTCAACACACAGATTCCAGGACTGATAAACCCCTCAGGATCAGTAATGGGAGTAGCTATATACCATGAGGGTAGGGGAAATGTGGGGGGAAAAGGGGGAGAAACGGGGAACTGACTGCATATAATGATTGATGTTCTAAGCCCCCTCAGGGGGCCGAACAACAGTGTTGGCAAAGGGAGTCAGCGGATATGAAAATGATAATTGATCATTCATCAGGGGTCCATGGGGGGGAGGGGAAAAAGAGGAGCTGATACCAAGGGCTTACGCAGGAAGAACATGTTTTGCAAATGATGATGGCAACATCTGTACAAATATGTCTGATACAATTGATGGATGGATTGTTATAAGAGATGTAAGAGCCCCTGATTAAATGACTTATTAATAATAAAAAAAAGAAAGCCAGTCAAGGTGACTTGCTCATGGTCACACTACCTGCATGTGGCAGGGGCTGGGTTTCTGTTCTGATGTTTCACCTGGGTCCCCTCAGGGCTCGGTTCCCATGTCATGACCCGAGGCGGTTGAGGGTAGGTCCTTTCTGGGTTCTTTCACCCTAAACAGAGCAGACTACCAGTCCCCCAGCCTCCCTGATGGCCAGTGGGCCTGGGACTTAACGGTAGGGTCTATTTGCTCATCTGTGCTGTGGCCATTAGGTGCTGCTGTCCAGTCCATTCTGCCTCTTAGAGACCCTACGTCCCACAGAAGGAAACACCGCCTGGTCCTGCACCATCCTCATCATCACTGTTTGAACCCATTGTTGTAGCTACTGTGTCAGTGCATCTCGTCCAAGGTCTCCTCCTTTCTAGCTGCCCCTCTACTTTACCAAGTAGGATGTTCCTTTTCCAGGGACTGGTCTCTCCTGATACCATGTCCACAGTACTTGAGACCATCGTTGCTTTTAAGAAGCATTCTAACTGTACTTCCTCCAACCTTACCACCACCAAATATTTAACAAACACCTACTATGTGCCAGGAACCCTGGTGGTGTAATGATTACTGCATTGGGCTGCTAACCACAAGTTTGAAACCACCAGCCGCCCCGAGGGAGAAAGAGGAGGCTTTCTAATCCCGTAAAGAGTTACAGTCTCGGAAACCCTCAGGGGCAGTTCCACCTGGTCCTGTGGTTTGCTTGGAGTTGGCATGGACTCGATGGCAGTGAGTTTACTATGTGCTAAACGAGGGGTGCGGGAGCCCGTGGGGTAGGGAGGTCAGGTGCGTGGTGGGAGAGAAAGAGGTGTGATTCTGGGTATTGTATTCCCAAGAGGATCCCTCCTAAAGAGGGCATGTGGTTGACAATCTCAATTTAGGTCAAAACTAAGGTTTCTCATTTGAAAGGGGAAAACATTGGGCCAGGGGAACATGAAGTGGGGAACAAATGACCCCCTTTTCTATTGTTCTCTAAGAGACCAGGCAGTGGAGGTGGGTATGAAGAGGAGGGGTTTTGAGCGGCCCGCTGGGGTGGTCTCAGGACTAGATGCTTTCGAACGGAACATGTGCCCCTTGGTGTGTCCTAGGCTGTGAGCTGGTGAGCCTCTCCAGGGGGTCTCTCCAGGCAGAGGACCGCAGGGCCTGTGAGGCCCTGCTCTGAGCCGGGGCTGCAGATCTGGGGGACGTGACCCCTGGAGTGGAATGAACACTCCTTTGTGGCCCCACTGAGAGAGGACCTGGTAGGACACCTGCAGGGCTCTCAGGAAGAGAGAAAGAGAAACTGCTGGGATCGTAGCTTTGGGGCCTGGAAAGAGAGCAGTTAGGATGTCCTGGGACTGCTGGGTAAAGTCTACGTCTTGTTCCTTATGCAGTTAAGATTGGAGCACACAGAAGAAAGGAGAGGAGGAAGAGGGAGAGCCTCCCAGAAGATGGTGGGATGGAACAGAGATCGGGTTGGGGCCACTGGTACACATTACCCAGTCTGACGGGCCAAAGCCAGTGTGAAAAGCTTCGAGCAGCTTGCCCTTGCAGATCAGCGCTGTGACTGTGCTTCACCAGGGTCCGAGCACATCTTGGGGGCCCTGACTTGGGGAGGTATGGGAAGAACCGAGTGCACTGAGGATTTTGAAGCGAGTGTAGGTGTTGGGCTGTTCCTTACAAGGCCAGGGGTTCAAACCCACCAGTCGCACCATGGGAGGAAGAAGAGACTGTCTGCTCCTGTAAAGATTTACAGCCTCGGGCACCCTGTCTAGGCTCGCTGCGAGTCAGAATCGACTCTGTAGGGTGTGTTTGGTGTTGGCCTGTGACTTGCAGGGTGACTTGCAGGGTGGGCACTGTCAGGAGGCTGCAGGCCAGACCGGGAGGATGTTGCTGCCGAGGCTCGGATGCAGGGTAGGCAAGGTTTAGGCAAGAGAGCATTACCAAGGAACCTGGGGAAGTAAGGACCTCCAGCCTTGGCTGAGTGGGGCAGGGGGACAGCGTCCACGGGCAGCAGGGCCTGGGGACCGTCGTGAGCAATGGCTGGTGTCATCGAGGGCTTGTGCGTGTGAGGTGCCTACTGGTGTCCAGCCTCAGTCAGGGTTTGAGTGTTAGGTCCCCTGGGGTGAATTGGGGGTGAGGCTAAGGACAGGAGTGGGCTTGCTCAGGCCCCGCCCACCACCTGGGAGTGGGGGTGGGGACATGCCAGGAGAACCAGACATAACTTTCCGTTTAATCACGGCCAGCCTGTGCTTTTCCTCTAGTGGCCTCAGCCTGCCTGGGAAAGGACGTGACCTTGGAACCACTGAACCCAGACACTTCAGGGACCAGGCTCAGCTGCTGCCCTCACCTCCCACCCCTGCTTGGCTCTGCTCCCCAACCCCCGGCCCTCTGCACTGGTTCCTGGTGCCTTCTGCCGCGGCCCCCCTGCACTCTCCCTCCCTCGATGGGATGGGGAGCAGTGTGGGGCGGAGAGTTGTAGGCTTTGGGGAGCACAAAACTGAGCTCCCACTGAGCAACTTATGCTCACCTTTCCTGTGATGTGGTGTCCTTCGCTGGTCAGAAGGGGTCCCGGGACAGGTGGGACACTGCCTGGGTGGGAGGGTGGTTCATCCACTGGCTTCCTCTTGCCATCGCACTTGCTATTGTTACCACGATGGACAGTCCTGCTGAGAAGGCTGCCCAATGGCCGTGCCTTCCTCCTGCCCACCATGCTCCTCCCAATGGCGTCTCGAGGCCCGTCCCCTTCGCCTTCAGCCCCTTCCTGCCTCTGCCGGGGCTTCTATTTCTGGAACAAGTGAGCCTGGAATAACTTTCTCTGGGCCCTGTGGCTGAGCACATTCCAGCCCTCCCCGGCCCTGACCACCCTCCCTCTCCTCCTGCCTCTCCCCAGGGCGAGTGTGACCTCACAGTTCATCGCCATGGCAGTCGCTGTGATGTCACGGGGTCTTTTTGGCCTGAAAGCCTGCCTGGATTCCAGGCCTCCCAGGGGGCCTGAGTGGGGAGAGCTGGAGGGGGTGGAAGGGGGTGAAGGGGGTGAGGAATTTCTGGACGGAATGTTCCTCTGGAGGCCCAGTCTGCATTCTGCACCCGCCCCCCACCCGATTCTCAGTCTGCCTTGGCCTTCCTGTCCATCAGCAGCCCACCCTCCCTGCAGGCTGCCAGTGGGTCCTGCAGCTTGAGTCTCTATGTGGCCCTTACAGCAGGCCCCTGGCAGACCTCGCCACCTCCCTCCGGCTCACACGTTAGGGGGCGGGGTTGTCAGTAAACCCGTATGTGTGGCTAGGGAGAGGGCACGTGGGTTCTTCATGTTGGCAAGACAAACATGGAAGAAGGGCTTTTGCTGTTTTCTCTCTCCACCCTGTGGTTCCCAGCCTGTCACATTCAGGAAGTCCTCTCTGGTGTCTGATCTCAGTTTCTCTGGTGACAGCCTTCTTCCACTCTTCCTCTGGAAATGTATTAAAGAAGTGTCGTTGTTCCCCCCCCCCCCGCCCCACACACACCCCGCCGTGCCCCCCTCACACGGGACCCAAGACAAGGGCTGCTGCCCTTCTGTAAGGCCCAGTAGGCTTGTCCCAGACAGGAGAGCAACTGGTGGGAGCCAGAGGGATGGGAGGTGGCTTCGAAGAGTGGGGGGAGCTTGAGGGATTTGTAAGGAGTCACTTGCTATGGCGGGACCCCGTGTGTGTCAGAGTAGGGTTTCTGATGATTGGGTCTTGGGAGAAGTTTGCCAGGCCTTTCATCCGAGGCACCTCTGGGTGGGTCTGAATGGCTCACTTCTGTTTAGTGGCCAAGCTCATGCACTGTTTACACCTTGGGGAAGTGACTTATCCCCTGGGGTGTTCAGCTTCCTCCAGCGTCCATCAGTCACCCTCACTGGGAGGGAGGTGCTGGGGATGGACAGTCATGAAAGCGCAGAGCCCAGTGCTGTCCCCAGGGCACCCTGAGTGCTTCCAGCCACTGCACTTGCAGCCACACTGTGAAAAGGGGTTCCCCGGACCAGCGCTGGGACTAGGGTGAGGCAAGTGAGGTACCGGGGGTGCAGGGTCTGAGAGGTGTTACTGCTCTGGGTTGTTCAGGTGCACTTGCAGGACCCAGAGCGAGGGGGCCTCTTTGTTTCATGCCCCGGGCACTGCCTGCCTCCCTTGCCCCACCAGACAGCTGCGCTACACCAGTCTCCTGGCCTGGGGGCATCCACAAAGAGCAAGGCCTGCTTCCCCAAGGGCCCCACCAGGACCAAACCCTACCCCCTGCTCTCAAACTAGGTCCAAAGTTGTCTTGCCCGAGGGCCAGAGGGCGTCTAAAAGACACCTGGAGAGGCCCTGAGGCAGCTTCGCGAGGCTTTGGGAAGCCTGAGGTCCCTACAGCAAGCTTTGTCCTGGGTCTGGACTGTGAGGTGGGACCTGAATGGGGAGGGGTGTCCAGCTGGGCTCCATCTGCTCCTTGCTTCTGACAGAGCCCTGTGGTAGGACCCAGCCACCCCTGCCTGCCCTTGCTTGGGGACCGAGGAGGGTAAGTGGAGGTGAGCTCCTTGCAGGTGTCCCAAGGCCTGGGTGGGTCTGATGCCCGGCCCTGCCACTCCCCTCAATGCGAGATGAGACTGTTCATACCTCTCCAACCGATGCTCCCCCTCCGTTGGTGACACGGGGATGGACGAGCTGGCGTCTCTGCGGAGTGAGGTGAGAGGACTTTGTGAGGGAGTGAGGGAGAACCGTGCAGAAAGGTCCTGGCAGATCGGGAACGTGAAAGACGGGACCTCTGCTCTGGAGGTCTGCGGGGCTGAGCTGTGCCGAGTGGTTGCCATGCAGGTTGGAGTGGCAGGAAGATCGTGAGGTTTATGCATTCCACCAATATTTCCAGAGAGCTCAGAGCAGTGTGCCAGGCACTGTCCTAGGTTTGGGAGCGGGTGCAGATGAGATGTGTCAATCAAGTGTAGCATGTGTGGGAGGTGAAGAGGTAGAAGAGAAGCAACCTGGGGAGAGGGTGGAAGGTACGTGGGTGTTGGGCTGTGGGTAAAGGTGGGGCGATGGCTGAGGCCTTGGGAGCCCCTCGGAGTCCAGGGGTAGTGCAAAGGGCTTGGCTTCTAGTCGGAAGGTTAGTAGTTCAAACCGTCCTGGAGGTGCCTCCGGCTGTGTTTGAACCACCAATCTTTCGGTTACCTAGCCTGTTTGCACCACTCGGGTCCACCACCACAAAGCAACCCCTGCTACCCGGTGGCCTTGTTTGGCAGTAGGTTCTCTGACGATGGTCTCAGTTAGGGGAATGTGGTTTTACCAGAGCAAAATGGGTCCTAATCCCCTCTGAGGGTCATCATCTTTGTTGTTTGTTGTTGTTGGGAGAGGCCGTTGAGTTGACGCTAACTCACAGTGACCACCATGTGCCGCAGACCAAATCACCCCCAGCCCCGTGCTGTCCGCACAGCGGTTCTCAAGTCTGAGCCCGCTGTGGCAGAGGCTGGGTCAGCCCTTGTCGTCCAGGGCCTTCCTTGTTTGGTCTGTCGAGCTGCTCCACTAAGCGGGATGTCCTTCACCAGGGACTGGTCTCGCCAGAGGACACGCCCAGAGTACTTTGAGATGAGGCTGCGCCATCCTCCCTTCCAAGGGGCCTTGTCTGTACATCGTCCAGGACAGGTGTGTCTGTGACTGCGGCAGTCCAGGTGTGTGGCCAGTATTGAAAGGACCCTGTTCGGAGCAGTCCTCAAAGTGTGGTCCTGGAGACCAACTGGTGAGCCTCAGCGGGAACCTATGTGAAATACAGATTCTCCAGGCTGCCCAACACAAGCTATTCTACCTGTGTGTCAGCAAGCCCTCTGGGGCAGTAAGGTGTAGCTCCGGTCTGAGGCCCACTGCCTTTGAGGAGAAGCCAATTAAGAGGCTGCATCCGGAAGTGCCTGGGGGCGGTGGTGTCTGTGGAGCAGAACTCTTGCCTGCCCTGAGAGAGATCTGGGTTCAGTTCTCGGCCATGGTACCCCCAGAGTAGCTATCACCCTTCAGCCACTGTAGGCTTGTGTGCCACCCATGTCCTACCAGAACCTCTACTCAACCAAGCATGCTGATAATGGGTTTCAGCACAGCACCTGGACCAGCAGTTCTCAACCTGTGGGTTGCGACCCTTTGGGGGTCAAACAACCCTTTCACAGGGGTTGCCTAAGACCATTGGAAAACACTTATTTCTGATGGTCTTAGGAACAGAGACACCGCTCCTCTATCGTCTCCAGGCGGGTCTGTCCACACGTAGCTACATCTACATATGAGTACCCAGTGTTAAGACTGTTACCCATGCTATGCCATGCTTCAAGACAAAATGTTGTCTATTTGTAATCAGAAATCAATATTTCACAATATATAATAACATATTGTTTTTGTGATTAATCACTATGCTTTAATTATGTTCAATTTGTAACAATGAAAATACATCCTGCCTATCAGATATTTACATGACGATTCATCACAGTAGCAAAATGACAGTTATGAAGTAGTAACGAAAATAAGTTTATGGTTGGGGGGGTCACCACAACAAGAGGAACTGTATGACAGGGTCGCAGCATTGGGAAGGTGGAGAACCGCTGGCCTAGATGAGGACAGATGGGGAAGAAAGTTCTGCCAATCTACTTCTGAAAAGCAGGCAGTGGAATTCCCATAGCTGAATGTGGTCTGACCCCATAGGGTGTGGGTTCACATGAGTCACGCTGCAGCAAACAGCTGACACTGCTGCTGGGGAGGAGGACTCCCCCAGGCTGGACCCCAAGGGGGAGGGATGGGGGTGTGTGGTTGGAGATAAGGGGGATTTAGAAAGGGGCTGGGACACTTGCTTGGGGTTGGGATTAGCAGATCCTCCTTGGTTGAAGTTAGGATTATCAGGTAGCTCCTTGGTTGGAGCTGGGATTAGCAGACAGCTCCTTGGTTGGTATTTGGATTAGCACAGAACTCCTTGGTTGGGCTGGAATTAGTGGACAGCCTATGGCAGGGAGCCTGGAGGACTTCCCTGCATGGCTTATCGAGTGGGCTCATTAGCCCCTGCTTAGGAGCCTGTGGTTTAAGAAGGATGCTCTGGTAGTCGGGTTAGAATTGAATTCCTGCAGTGGAAATTGTGTGGCAGTGGGGAGTAGTGGGAGGAGATGGTATTTTTATTCATCTTCCAGAGCCATCCTCAGACTCCAGGTGGGGAGAGGAGAGTCTATGGGGGTGGGGGTAAGAGTGACTGGCTGGTGGCCCTCCTACTCTCCGACTCTGGTTCTGGCCCTGTGCTTTCTCTACCGCCCCACCTGTCTTGGCCCTGAACTGCCCAGGAACTGTCATCCTCTGGAGAGGAGGTTTGACTTCCACATCCCAGACAGAAGGGGTGAACCGGTCAGCCGTCTCCAAGCCAAGTGAGGACTCACGCCCTCGTTGGCCCACTGTATCCTCTGTGCCCAGCTTGGCTCAGCCTTCTGCCTGCCGAGCCATTCAGAGTCCCTGTGCCCAGTCTCCTGCCTTCAGACGTGACCAACTCAGCCCTCAGGTCCCAGGGCCTCACTGGGAGTAGGGGGTTCCTATCCTGAGGGACTTTATCTTAAACACTGGTCAGCCTTGTCCACAAAGGCTGGTTTCTCTTGACACCTTTACAGTCATGCCCGTGGCCTTCTGAGTGACTCAGTAACCCTGTGGGGAACAGTGCATGTCGTCCACGGTTGACCAGAAATAAGAAAGTTCGTTTCCTGGTGTGTTGTGTGTAAGTGGGGAGGAAGCTGCTTTGAGGAATGCCCTGCTGTTGGCCTGTGCAGAGGCAGGATGGCGCCTGGAGGTGAGGGTGAGGCCAGGATCCCTGATAGTGAGGTGAGAGGCAGGATCCACTGGCCTTGTTGTTACTGATGATCCACTGGCCGGGAACTGTGGTCCCCAGAATGAGGAAGCTTGCGACCCGAGTTAACAAAGC